GGAACAGGACCACGGGTTGGGGCCAGATATGCTTTACGGCACTGCCGGGCAATGAACCATCCCGGGCTAGGGAACTAAGGACTATATAGCGATGGGAACGGAAAGGACGACGGGGTCGAGCAGGTTTGCTTTACGGCACGGGCGAGGTGACAGGGTGGCTTCGAGAGTGGTGAAGACAGGCAGAGAGCTTTTACGACAGTGGAAGAAACGCCTGCCGCAGGCATCTTTACGACGAGGGGGTTGGCGCCCAAACACTTTCAGCTTTGCGACATTGGCACCGACAACCCAGTCTTCGTCGGGTCAAGCAACACCTTGAAGTGTTCGCTTTACGGCAGGAGGAAGAGGTGTCTTTCCTTCTCGCTGCACGCTTGGAAGTGGTGTGAGCGGGGACCGAGGACCCAGAGCAGGGAGCCGGGACCTTTATAAGTGAAAATCTCTGCCCTCCACACCACTGAGGCCAGATATGTCTCCCAACACTGTCGCAATTCCTCCACGTTTGTATCATAACTCATGAGAGGCAGAGCGGGCCGAGTTTGGGGGGAAAAGGGCTCGCGTATGTTTCTGGGCAACCCCATCTTGAACCCTAGTCCAACGAAATTTGGATTTTGAAGCCACGAATAGAGTGCAAAGGGACCCCGGGAAGCAGTTTCAAGCGTCTTCGGGGGTCCCCAAAGATTGCCCAAAAGCTGTTAACAACCCTTCAGCACAACTCTCCGATGCTCGCGTTAAGGTTAGGGGACTGTGACGTCACAATTAGGCTTCTCACCCCATGACCAGGACCCCTGACTGTAATTGGATAATTCGGATGAGGGCGGTGATGGGGGAAGAAGGGCGGGAACAAATCCTAGAAACAAAGAAAGGTCTTTGGGTGAGACAGAAAGGGAGGGGCAAGCGGAGAGTTTCCCAGGCCGAGGTCCCTACTTAGTTTTGATTTTGCCCCCCGCGGCTCCAGGGAGCAGAGGGGGAGGGGACCCGGGCCTCGCCCAAACTTCACCGCTTTGGGGGCGGGGCCTCAAGGGCGGGGCTATGTGGAGCCGGGAGGCGGGGCGGGGTAGCTGAGAGTGGCCCCCTAGTGGGGCCATGGAGAAGCTGCAATCTCTGCGGGCTGCAGGCGGCCTTAACGGGGAATCTCCTGGAAACAACAGAGTCGAGGCAGGCGCCGGGCTGCCCTCCGTAGTCATGTTTCACGGTTCTGGGCCCCCCATGCACTCCGGGGGAATCGTAACTCGCAGTCCTGAATCTGGCCAGCCCTCCGAGGGGACAGAAGTCCTCGGTTCCGGGCTCAGCCAGCACCCTGGGGAGGTTGCGGGCCACAGCCTTGGGTCTGGCACATACACGGCCAGAACCAGTGTATTCGGGACGTCCAACCTGGGGTTCGCGGGGCCTGGAATGTACAACTCGGAGGACATTCCGCTCTCCAGGTCAACTTGCATATACCCCGACAAACTCTGTGAGGACCGGCCCCGGAGCATCCTAAAAAATAGCAGCTACGCTGTGATGTATAAATCCCCCAGGGCGGAGAGGTAAGGCGTCCAGGAGGAAGAGATTCCGCACTCTGGAGAAGGCGGAGTCACGAGGAAAGGGGCGGAGTCCCAAAAACTAGAAATGAGAGTAGGTGAAGTTAATTGGGTGGGAAATCGGAGGTTCCAAGCCTACGTGAAAGTAGCACCGGATAAACCCTGACTACGTAGTACGTGATTATCATCAGGTGTGACTCCATCCCCAGCCTCCTACACCTCTATATAAGTACAAGAAAAAGTTTTCGAATGTTTAAAAGAATGAGAGAGGGCTGTGAGAAGGAGGTCACCAGAAGGTTTCATCCCCATTTTTTTGTATCCTTCCCTCACCCCAAGGAAAAAGTCTCAGCACTGGGATGAAATGAATATCCTGGCCACTTACCACCCTACCGACAAGGACTATGGATTTATGACGGTGGATGAGCCTAGCACTCCCTACCACAGGTGCTGAGCCCTCAGCCCTAGCCCTTTGAGAGGAGTGGGGGAGGCCAAAAGGCCTTAGGGACTGGCTACTGCCTGCCGCCCCCTCTCAGGCACTACTTCCTGCCTCCTCTGCAGACTGCGGGGCAGCGATGAGGACCTGCTGGCTGGGACCTCCCACACAGTGACTCCTGAGGAACTAGCAGAGAGGTGAGTCTTACCAGAGATCAGTAGAAATCTGCTTCCTCCCTTCACCGTTGAACTGTGGGGTCTGAGCCAGCTCTGCTTTTTGGCCCCCAAAAAGGGAGGTACTGCAGTTCTTATCAGGACTCACCCAGGCCAAGGTTGGGGAGTCAGCCATGCCCATCCATTCTTCTCTCCCTTCCGTGCCCCCAACTAGTCTCCCTCCCCTTCAGGTTTGCAACAATGGAGAATTTCTGCCCCAAAATCCTCCTGTACGGTGATAACAGAAGCTCAGGGTCTTCGGACACCTTTTCCAAGACACGTGAGATGAGGGATAGGGACTGACTGTAAAGGGGAGGTGGAGGAGTGAACCTTCTTCGAGAGCCTGGCAGGAAAGCCAAACTCTGACACTGGCCCACAGAATCCAGTGATTTTGAAAAGCACCGCAAGGCACACTACAATGAAGGAAAGTTCCTCAAGCTTCAGAGAAACCTGCCCTTGGATAATAACAAGAACAGCAGTGTGGGTAGTGTCTGTGTGAGCAGTGGGGGTCGAGGTGTGGTGTTGGACCCAGAGCCCAGGCCTGCAGAGAGAGGAGGGGCAGGAGGCCTGACCAGAGGAGTCAAAGATGAGTTTGGCCTGGTGACCAGAAACGACATCTTGGAAGCCAAAGGTTAGCTGTGGTTGGGCCCCAGGGACCCAAGGGAATTGTAATCCAGAACATTCTCTGGTATAGTCTGTCTTCCTCAGTGAGCATCAGCCCAGGGTCCTGTTGCCTGAAAATAAGTCATGCTGGAGGGTGACCCTAGGGAAGACAGAGCAGCTGAGGTGGGGTACCCATCAGGATAGTCCCCAAGGAAGGCTGGCGGGGGAGGAGGAACAGAAAGCCCAAGAGAATCATGGGAGATGGAAAGGTCACTGACATTTTCCTAAAATGGGAGGAGGTGATAGAAGTGAGAGGAGAAACTGGGGCTTGAGTTTCTCCCAGTGCTGGGAGGGAGGAGCAGTCACGATGATACTGGTGGCCTATCTTCCCTAGGTAGCCATAAGACTCAGATTGATTTGAGTGACTCCTCAGATGCCCTTGCCTTCAGAAATCAGTCCCCAGCTTCAGCCACCACTGTCGTGTTGGGGAAGGAGACAGATCTGCAACGCAAGGAGTATTACAGAAAAGAAAGATACCTGAGGTGCTCTCCCCAGCCTGAGCTTGAGGAGGACACGGAAGATGAGCAGCAGGCCAGTGAGAGCTGGGCTAGGGCAGTCTGGGGGCGGGAGGGCCTAGAACCAACAGACTTCTAGGTGCCCCAACCTTAGCCCCGTGATGCTTCCAGGCTCCACAGGCTTGAACTGGGTGATTGAAGATCCCATCAGCACCGAAGTCCGTCTGCTGGACCACACCGGAAGCTCCTCAGAGGATCCTGAGGCCACGGAGAACTCCCTGAAGGTGACAGTGACACCATCGAAGCCTGGTGAGGGCACCAGGCCACTGTCTCACCGGACTTGGCAAGCTCCCATGCCCCCCACCCTGACTCCCCACCAGTGGATGGACCACAGGTGATGAGCAAGGCCCTAAACATCCTTGTGTGCCAGTCCACGTTGCATGGAAAGGACCCAGGGAGGCTCAGAGGGATTGGAACCCCCTCCAGCTTGGCACCACCGCTGCCCCCATGCCTCCTCCCTGATTCCTCTCTGCCACCCTCCCGGCTCCAGGTACTGCCCTGTCCTCCAAAGACAGTGGGTCCCGAGCAGTGACTGATTGGTGTCAGTGGCTGGCATCCAAGGGGCTGAACTGGCAAAGCACAGAAGTCTCAGAGAGGGAACCTAGAAGCATCCCAAATTCCTCAAACCAGAGCCAGCACAGATGTGAGCCCCGGCAAGGTAGGGCAAGGGGCTGCCTGCACTGGCCAGGGAGAGAGAAGGGTAGGTTCTAGGGAGCCTGAGGGTCACATGGGCCAGATCTCACATCTGCTGCAAGAAAGCCACTAGCCAAACCCCTTCTCTCTCCAGATGAAACCCTGCGGCTTCGATGGACTCAGGAGGAGGAAACCAGACAATGGAAGATGTAGCCAGCTGGGGATGGGATGGGGGCCAGCCTTCCTCTGACCTCACCACCCTCAATCGGGGTGGACAATAAAGAGAAGACGAGCAGGAGTCTGGGTGCTGTGAATGGGGGGGCCATGCTGGGCCTGAGCAGTCTTTGAGAAGGTGAGGGAGAGGGGGAAGTTCACACCCAGGAAACCACGAGCAGGCAGAGCAGAGAAGAAAGCTTGGAGTGGTCTGGGGGACTGCAACTAGCACCTAGGAGTCCAAGAAGGCCCTAACGCAGTGGGATGACAGAGGTTGCTGTGATGCAGTCAAACACACACAGTATCGTCTTTAATTCTTGCAACAACCCGGGAGGTAGGAGTTATCATCCCCATCTTTCAGATGAGGAAACTGAGGAGTCAGTCAAGCAATCAGGGTCACGCAATCAGGAGAATTTGAACCCGTGTCTCTCAGGTCCCCATAACTCAACCACTGAAGGAGAATGAAGCTGAGAGAGACCAGGGCCCCCAGTAGGAAGGTGACAGCAGATAGCCTCTGAGGGCGGGGCTGTGGCTTCTCTGATCTCAGGCCCTTCTCCACCGCCCAGGCCCCGCCTCTACCCCTCCCGGCGCAGCCTGGAAGTGCGGAGTGAGAGCTCCTCCTAGGACACCCCTTCCACTTGGGGAGAAGATCGTGCCCCCCAGAGGCTCTACCCAGCAGAGGACCCTCTCTTCCCTCCTCCTCAACACCCCTCCTGGGGCAGGGAGTGCCTCCACCTGCATCTCCACCCTCCTGGCCCCAGGGCCCTGGAGCGGTCAAGCTGAGATGACGGTCAAGCTGGATTTCGAGGAGTGTCTTAAGGACTCGCCCCGCTTCCGGTAAGTGTGCACAGGTCTGGGGGGCAAAGGGTGGGAGGTCCAACACCCCACAGTGTGTACCCACAACCTTCCCCAAGTCAGATGTCCTTCCAGGGAGTAAGTCTCAGAAAGGGACAAGATGGAGCATCTGGGCCAAAGCAGTACCATTGCTATCAAATCTGGTGCTGTGATCCATGTGTGAAGGGGCCTCTCCAGCCTCTCTCACCCCTAGAGCTGGCATTCCCTCCTCCCTCTCTCAGGGACCCCTGCCCCTCCCCCAGCACCTGCTCTGGGCGGTTAGCAACTTCCTGCCCTCACCACATCCACCCTCCTTCTACCCTTCCTGCTCTGGCCTGGGCCACAGTGGCTCTGGTACAGTGAGCAAGCAAGAGAGGTTGGGTGGGCAGTTCTTAACCCATTAGCTTTTTCTGCCTGTATCCTCCATCCCCGAACCCCAACCCCCACCTCCCTGCTGACGCTGCCCAGGCGGAGGTGGACAGACCAGATGGACGCAAGCTCTGTTCCTATGACCCCATCCCTCCTTTCCCAGAGCCTCTATCGAACTGGTGGAAGCTGAAGTGTCGGAATTGGAGACGCGGCTGGAAAAGGTGATCCTGAAGTGGAGAGGTGACCCAGGAGGGAATTAAAATGAGAAGGGTGGGGCCAGGGAGACACTTGGAGAACAAGAATGAGTGCAGGGGATGACTGAATACAAACCAGGTTGGGTAGATACTTGGGGGCTACAGAGAAGCCCAAAGGCAGTTCTGTACCCTGAAGGAGCTTGTGATCTTGAAAGGCAAGATTCACCTGTGAACTTACTTGGTCAGCTCTGGGGCCCTGTATTATGCGGGACTCTGGGTGCCGCAGGGAGAGCAAGACTGTTTCTGCCCCCAGGGAGCCCGCAGACTGCCTGGAAAACAAACTGGTAAAACACTTCAACACAAGACAGTAAGGCCTTCCTGGCCACTGTGTAAAACTGCCTGCATTCACTCACACACACACACACACACACACACACTCACACTCCCATCCCCCTTACTTGGCTTTATGTAGCATTTATCTCAGTCTTACATGTCACGTTTACTTGCTGTATTAGTTTTCTATTGCCATCTGACAAATGATTACAAATCCAGTGACTTTAAACCACGCACATGTGTTACAGTTGCTGTGGGTCAGGAGTCGGGCACAGCTGAGCGGGTCCTCTGCTCAAAGTCCCAGAGGCTGCAGCCAAGGTGCCGGCAGAGGCTGCAGTCCCCTCTGAAGCTCGGGGTTTTCTTCTGGCCTCACACGATTGTTGGCAGCATTCATTTCCTCGCTATTGCCTGGTTGAGGCCCTCATCTCCTAGAGGTTACTCACAGTCCCCTGCCGTGGGGCCC